ATTTCATTGTCTGATGGAATTTGACAAAGTGATATTGACAATGCAGCTTATTTTCCCAGAATAAAGAGGGAAACGTAATATTGTTTCATCTTCTCTTGCTGTTATCGTGATTTATTTCCAGGTACTAAAGTATTTCCACCTATCTCTCCGCCTTGTTACTGTCTCAAGCAAGAATACATTATCCAGACAGAGCAAACAATATTACATTTGTTATTGAAAAGCAGTGATCCTTCACCTCATATTCTTTAATACACACAATCATAGGCACACAAGCACACAAAGAGGTACATCAACACTTCTTTAGTGCATCAGAGCAGAGATTCATACATTCTAATGCTCAACATAAATGTAAATGCAGCTCTGAGTGTGTTAGGGCCTGTGTCCACATACAGCGCTTTTTGCCCTGGCAGCTCCCACAACCTCAGATTCAAAATCTTCCCACTGGCGGTCAATGTTGCTAGGATACAAAAGTTAACTTCTGTTTCCCTAGCCTAGGTCATTATTCATGGGAATATCTCCAAGAAAACATAAAAATAATGCATAAGAAAGTGTCCTGGCAGCTCTAATCTTGGAGATTTTACCCTCAAAAAGACAATTCAGTCTAGCATCTCTTCCGCCATTATTGTTGAAAAAGCTGGTATCGGAGGCCACGCCCCTTCTTGGTCATGTTTGGTTGGTGAGGGAGAAATGACATAGCCGAGCACTGCACTGTTTCAAAAGTTGAATTATTTTAAACTGAGAGCGCTGTGAGTGAAGTGACAGAAAACAGCTGCAACATACAATTATAATGCAGGACGCCGTTGGTTTTGTATTTATTTTTGGTCACTGCTAGATCAAAAAAACGTCTGTGGACACAGTCCCTTATAGAGTGTGCCTGTCAGTCTCAAAGGCTTTTACCATCCAGCTGCGTAAATGATGTGGAGTAAATTAATATAATTGACCATCCAGCTGCTTGCTGTCAATATAAATCACATTAATGCAACAAAAGCCTCTAACAGGTAATGATTTAACAATTAATCACCTGTAATGAGAAGGTGTTTGGACAGTTTAATAACTCAACTAATTACCTCAGAAAGTCTGTGTTTTTATTCTGCTGTACTTCTATAAGTGATAAAGTGAAAAACATAGGGACATAACTGAGGCCTGCATTTTAAGTGGGATTTTGGTGTCGTCAAGGCAACGCAAGCGTCTGGGTATGACGTTTATACCAAGGGGCAACCTCCGGTCTCGAAAAATGAAGCCTATGCGGAAGTACAAAATACTGCAGTTCCTCGAGGTTCCGCTTGAGGCTGGCTGCAGAAGCGCCGGAAGTGCCATAAGCCCACAGCCAAAAAAGCCCGTTTTTACCACAGGAATCAACATGTTTACAGCCTGGTTCAAAAAACGAGATATATCTGAGAAGTTGACAGCCCCTTCTCCTCACACTGTGGGGGGGGGTGAATTTTTTTATAACTCATCGGATTTTATTCTATTAAGGAAAACGGCTATGCCCATATTTGGTTGTGTCAGATTTGATTGACAGCTCTGCGCGCTGCATCTGTCTGTCAGGTCAGGAGGTCAGCAGGTCAGCAGGTCAGGAGGTCAGCAGGTCAGGAGGCGAACAGCTTGATCCGTCTGATTTCTCCTCTTTTTTTACTTCGTTTGGAGAGTTTGTTTAACACATATCTGACAACATACATGGCTTGCTGTGCGGTTAACAGACCATTCAACAAGTTGATGCTTCAGTTTTCTTCGGTAAGTGATACAGTAGTGTTATATTTACTGTATACTCATGTGTCAGTATTTATATTTACAGACCTAGCTATATTTACGGACCAGTCGGCTAACTGTGTAGCTCATTATTTACGGTCAATGGTTTAGAAATGTTTGTTGTTAAGATGTTGAAAATGAGTTTGTGTGATGTTAGAAGCTAAAGGTTCACCTCAGTTGTTATCTGACGTTATGATGAATGTTATACTCCACGATACGTAAATGTGGACATTAAAAAAACAAACTTTGTGTAGTAATTATCTGTCAGTAACATAAACTGAACTGAACCTAATGTGCTGTGTAGGTTATAGAGGATGACATTAAAGTTACATGGTTGATGTAGTGTCTTAAGATTTGAGCAAACTGTTAACACATTAAAAAAAATGCACTTTGTAAGAGCATCTGTAACCATTAAGAACTATATTAATAACCATATTAATTTTCACTGACACACACACATACACAGAATATAGCTGTAGAAATATAAAATATAAATAACATATGGAATGAAAATAAGATTTAAAGCACATAGATATAAAGTATAAGAAATAGTTTGAAGAATACAGCCATGTACCGAGCTCATGTTAATAATAAATGAGTTACTGTATGTTCTGTACTAAAGCACAGAGAGTTGGGACCTGTTAATGATTTAAATAATTCAGATTATATTTGTTTCATGTTAAAATGAAGTACTATCCACAATAAACTGCTCAACTTTTCCTCCAAAATCTGAAGCAATTTGATGTGGAATATCATTGTGTGAGTGAGAGAGAGAGCTGAAAACAGCATGATTACAATAAGGTTCATCTTCTTAACTTTAAATAGATGTTGATTATCTGAATACTGTACTTTTGTTGTCTGGGTAGTACACTGTTGAATTTATAAATGTACTCTTACACACAGATGAATACAGAAAAATAGATGAGAACAAAAAAAATGATTTAATGAATAACTGATATTTTCTCTCTTTCTTTGCCATCCTGAAGACCCCTCACTAAAAGTCCATGTTCTCCTGGATCCATGTCACATGCTCGAGCTTCTTCAGAATGACTTTTCAACAGTCGAAGTTCTGGTGAGAGAAGATGGCCAGCAGATAAGACAGCAGTACATGAAGGAGCTCCACAGGCTTCAGGAGGAGGAGGGTTTGCACCTTGGAAGACTGTATTCATGCTGTTCAAATAAAACTAGATCTACTCCAAACAACTTGCAATCAAACCATTTTCTTCCCATTTTAAAACCCTTTGTCCAGTTTAGATGAGAGAAGTTGATATTATGTGATATTGATCAGGGAAGACTACATTTCTAAATCATTTTTAACTGTGTTTTTATTCACAAGTTATTGATCTTATTTACTCTCCATGTATCTTGATTTAAGAGTGGGGCTGTGTTCAAGGGCATATTTTTGCAATGACTCTGTTCCATCCCACTTTCAGAAATGAACTACATTAGTATTTAAAAAAAGAATAAGAAGTTGTGTAAAAGTAGACTTCCTTCCCTAAGCTATTGAGTTGAGCATTAATGCACATTTTAGTCTTGTCATTGCAAATCTGAAATGTATACTCATAAGTAGACATAGAGGAGTGCATTTATATAGAAATATTTATTTAATCTGAAAAACAACATTAAAAAAAAGTCTGTTTTTACAGCAGAGATGAACATGTTTACAGCTTGGTACAAAAAAAACAAATAGGTGTGATTAGCTCATGTCTCGATGGACACACACTGTACGGGGGGTGAATGTTTTGATGACTCATCAGTTTTGATTTGATGAAGAATAAGAGTTATTCACGATAAGGCGTGTAGCTGACCAGCTTGACAGGCGGGCGCGGTGTAATGGTTTGTCAAGAGGTTTAAAACCCGTCTCAGCTCCAGCTCTCAGCCTGTGGGTGACATCACTCAGGCCATCCGGGGGAGACCTCCCTCACAGCGAGCTGTTGAAGAGAAGCAACCGAAGTCCACCCCAGAAGAACCAACAAATACAGATGTTGTTGAGGCTCAGGTTTCTCTCTGGGAACCTCGACGGACAAGTCCCCAATAAGTCCAATAGTCCACACTGTGTCTATAGGAGAAATACAAAGGTGTTCAATTAATGCCTCAGACAAAATGTACAGTTAACTACATGTGACAGCTCAGGCTGTTTTTTTGTTATGAGCCACATCTGCAGGAATATTATTGAACAAGGTAGCTGCAACTCATCATAATAGATGCCAGTCTTAAACACTATTTTTTCTAATACTTAGTTTTTGGTGTGAAGCTGACACTGTCCACAGACTCCATGACTTCACGGGGTTCTATAGAAAACAAATATCTTATAATAAATACTAAATAAATTATTTTTCAATTGTCATGTTCACCTCATCACTGTTGACATCAGTAAATATAAGACACAGACATTCCTCTTTTTGTCAGAACAGTAACATGAACTGTATGCTTTGTAATATTGATTTCTTCTGGATGTCTCATATTTATTTACAGTCTATGGATAAAACTTTGTTAATGTATTGCTCTGCTAACACTGACAAAGTCTAACTGCTCTGACAAATAACTAATAACCATGATTGTATATTTAAAAAAGTGTAGTTTTAAGACTTTAATTAAATATTTGGGTTGAATATAATTTGTTTTAACTGTGTTGTAGAAAAGTTAAATGTTAACTTACTGTTTATAGAGTTTTCTCAGGATGAGCAGGAATAGAGGATGATAGCAGCCTAGCTGTTAGCTATGCTGTCAAGTGGACTGCTAACGTCGAGCTGAATGGGCGGAGTTAAGTCCCGCCGGTCCCACCTTGTTGCTAGGTTGATCCGAAGTTAGGTTGAGACTGCAAATCCAATATGGATGCGGCCGTCGATTGGACTCATTTTCTGCCTATGTAACAGACGGGTCAGGGTTCGTCCAGTAATATTTACAGTCTATGGTTTATACCAGCAGCTCCTGCTGACCAATTCATTCTCTTTGGTAATGGCAAACAAAAGCCTCTTAAATTTTGTCAGCTCAACTTATTTCATAATGATTGGCCAGTGATGCTTTGAGCTTTAGCCTTTTTTTGCAACTGTCAAACGCTTTTGCCAGTTTCCTGGGCCGTTGACATATTCTGCTTTCACGTCACAATATGTAAACAGAGTTTAGGCTTAATAAGGGCAAGAAAAATATTCCATGTTCATATTGAACTTAATTCATCTTACAGGGCCTCTGTCTTTTTCCTGCAGCAAACATATTTTTGTTGTTGTTTGTGTCTTTTTCTTTCTCCACAGATGGGACCCTCTACACTTGGTGGGTGGGTCGTGGCAGTGAGAAGCATTTCTACTGGGGGGGCTCCACACCTGGAGTCCAGAAATGTGCCTGTGGCATCAACAGGAACTGCACTGACCAAAAGTACGATTTCAACTGTGACGCCAAGCACAAACAATGGTAAGACAGACTCTTGAATAAAAGTTCATCAGGACCCTACCACTAAGACCAACTACTGTATAGATTTTCTCAGTTGCAGTGAAAAACTGCTTGATCATCTATTTTTAATCAACATTATAAAAAGTGTTGTACTTCACTTCAGACGTGCAACTAAATTAATCTTTAGAGCAAACTGTAAAGGTCATTGCTCTAATATACTGACATTCATGAATAAAGAAAACAATCCTGATCTGTTCATAACCTCTATAAAGAACAGAACTTCTCGCCTGAGAGAGTCTTAATGATTGCATATCTATATCATCCAGAACTTAATAGTGAAATATGTCAGACCCATGGATGGAAATTGGATAATTTTGTCGCTGCTGCTAATGCTAATGTTTTCATGAATCTGTCAGAACAGAGTCTGCCTAAGCTGGATGCTCTGATGAAGAGTCTTACTTCAAAGTGACTGAATGATGGATTCTACCAATCAATCAATCCATACATACAATCAATGATACATTTATTTAAGAGTGATGTTTGCCTCCACAACCAACAGTTTGTGTTTCAAAGCTCTTTTAGCAAGCTGATGGATATTATCTTTACAGTAATTGCATCCCTGTAAATATGTGTGTGTGTGTGTGTGTGTGTGTGTGTGTGTGTGTGTGTGTGTGTTTGTGTTTGTGTGTGTGTGTGTGTGTGCATGTGCGTGTGTGTGAGAGAAAAACCGATGAGATTACAAATTAGTCTTTCTCCGTCTTGTTCTCTCTGTTTATATTTTATGCATGAATGTCTCATTGTTAGGCTGACTGATTTTCAAATTATTACCCACATAACTCACTCTCTATTTCCAGTCATTATCCATCATTTTGGCAGCACATAGAAACACTCGTTCAAATTTAAAACCATAAATGCGACGAAAGTGTTTTACTTCCAAACTTAAAAAATGATGTTTAAACAATTAAAATGGAATAGTTCTGTGAGGAATTCACAAGTGTCGTACTAAAACCCATTCCTGCTTTATAGGCTGCTGGTGATATTCATTGTTTTTGAGAAGAGAAAGTAATGCTTAATTTTATGTATGCATCATTCTTATTGATTGATTTCATTGTTTTGATTTGTTTCCTTTGGTGATTTATATCTTATTCAACACCTGAATGATTTATATATAAATGTATCCATCAGTCCACCTAGCCATCCTTACACCCATCTGCTATAACAATTAACACATAATGTGTTACTATTGCACTAAAAACACATCCCTCCTTTTCCAGTAACGCTGCAATATGTAACTTTTCCATAGACTATCTGTGGTGTAATCCAAAGGTCAGCAGCTGTTTAATGCAACGTGGCGCTTTAATCAAATATGCTGAATGATCTCAGTGATGTTCATGACATGCTAGTTATTAAATATCTATTGTAGAAGTCTTAAGATATTTGGTCATGAATGGAAAAAAAATGTAATATTGATACTGTAAATGCACAATATGTAAATTGCACCACCAGGGGGCTCTCAATCAAAACAATAAGAAAGGATGACGTTGGGGCTGGCGGGGAATCATGGGAGTGATCGTGGTGGTAGTTAGAGCAGTAGATTTTGAAAATTTCAAAAAAAATCAGAGAATTGAAAAAGACCAAGTACTTTGAGTTTTCTGTTGTATCCCTACACTGATTTACACAAGACATGAATAAGGACAGGTCTTACATGCCCATGTTGGCATAGTATTTTGTATAATTACAAACTTCAAACAATTGTCCCCGGGGACAAATAAAGTTTTTTGAATTGAATTGAATTGCTAAGTGATTGTGGTCCACTCTTCAAGACAGCAATTGTCCTTCCACTGAGTAGTGGCTTGCGAATGGATTTTTTCCTATTTTTGTATACTGTATGTTTTTGTACAACAAATATTCAAAGTTACAGTACTCGCTTGATGAGAGGTTTTGAGGGCCACTGCTAAGCAGCAAAAAAACTCTTGAGACCATAGACCATGGTGGTCCCAAGTTTAAAAAAAAAAATATCATAAAAATATCAATCCACCCTTATCTGGTATTCAAGTAAATGAAGCGTGTAACAATCGAGTGGCTCAGAAACAGAGGCCGCAGACGTCCTGAAAGTAGATTGAACAAACTCTTGGCTAAGCTGCATTTCTGCATTTGCCATCAACTTGAGAACCAATCAGGAAAATCAGTTCAGACTCCACTAAAGACGTATCTTTAATTGTATTATTGGTCTTAGATGATTGCTTAACGGGGGGCATGGCTTGATCACACACGAGAGGTTATATCAACACAAAGACAATCTGTCTGTCTTCCATGGCTGCTCTTCTCCTGTTTGCTGTAGCAGGTGGTTCATATCATATTTTAATTCAAATCTGTGTAGCATTTGTGCTGTCTCAGGGGGTTAGTAAAGACATTTATTTGCTGGATCAATTTCTGGAACATTTGTTGGATAAACATTTCAATATGGGACGGTTAATGTGCCACAGAGCCGAGCCAATCAGCTGCATCTGTCGATCTGGCACAGGAGCAATCAGAGGTTTATGATTCGGCTTCAATGTGTATTCCTCTAACGCTGTTTCCTCTCTAACACAGTCTGTCAACCTCATACGTACGAGTTCTTCTTTCCTCCTCACACAGTATAGATCCTCTCTCTCTCTCTCTCCAAGCTCTCACTCTAATCTTTATCCTCTTGTTCCCCCTCCTTCACTCAGAGGCATGACTCACCTGCAGCTTTCTTTCTATATCCATGTGTCATTTATTTATTTTTTTTATGTCTTTGTCAATCTTCTTCTTTCTTTCTTGCTTGAAGCTCTTGAAAGTTTTATCCCTTTTCATCTCCTCAATTCGATGTCAAATGATGGTAAACACATCATTCTCTATTTATGTGGCTACTGCAGGAACCCTCCAGTTTATCCCTCATTTAACCCTGTTCAGTAATTAGCTATCCCTCCTGTAGAGAAATTAACAGTATTCCAACTTTCAACCCCGCTAATCACAAGGACAGCATCAGTATGTGGTTGTGGTCCATGTGAGTGTGTGAGTGTGTGTGTTTGTGTGTGTGTGTGTGTGTGTGTGTGTGTGTGTGTGTGTGTGTGTGTGTGTGTGTGTGTGTGTGTGTGTGTGTGTGTGTGTGTGTGTGTGTGTGTGTGTGTGTGTGTGTGTGTGTGTGTTTTTGTGCTTGGCCGCTATCTGTTCTTGCCCCTGGTGACAGGATGTGAGGTGAGGCGGAGGAGAGGGGAGGAGCTCAGCCCTTTAACTGGGGATGGCTTATTACACTGAACCAGAAGACACACACACACACACACACACACACACACACACACGAAATGTATTGTTATGTTTGTAAACATAACAATACATTTCAACACAAAAGCATTACAAAAGTTATCTTGTGACATTTTTAATGTGGAATGTAATCTTTCATGTATTATAAAAGGGATCAGAAAGTAGGACAGAGGGAGAGACTGAAAGGGGGAAAAGAAAAAATCGGATTTAAAAAATAATGACAAAAAATGACACATTCTCTGCATCCAATATAACAATTCCAAAGATGTCATAATACATTGAACATATTTTGTTTTTTTGACTGTTTAGCCGTTTTATTTTTGCAAAAAAAAAGTGATTCAAACAATCAGTGATAGTTGCAGTAAAGCACTCTTACTTACAGTCTGCCAACTTGCTGGCTGGTCATGAAAAAAATTAAAATCTCCGCACCTTCTAACCTGCAGCAGCCAAAAAGGGTCATAAACACAAAACTCAAAACTGATTTTTAAACAGCCACCGCTGTGTGGAGACGTTGGAGGCAGTCTGAACACACACCTCTTGTACAAACACGTCTTCCCTTTCTGCTCGACTCTTCCTGTTCACTGTTCCTGCAGGGTTATAGTTGGGAGTTAAAGGCCAAATCCCTTGAGACGTCAAAGAGATCTCACACAGCTAAAACTGCATTAGACTTAACTCCTCACCTCTTCCTCCTGCCCTCCACATGCTGAGCAGCTCCTCATCCTCTCCCGGCATCTGCCCTCTACATGACTTTACTCCCCCTTTTGCATCAATTCTGAAAAAAAAAAAAATAACAATCAGTTATCTCACCCGTGTCTGGCCTTTATCTTCAAATTCTCCTCTCCTCTCCTCTCCTCTCAGCAGAGAAGTCCCTTCATCAACCACAGTCTGATAACTCATCAGCAGCTGTTTGACATACTTTGTCTTCATTAGCCGCTGCTGATTTAGCTTTAGAAAAGTCATTAGAAAAGTTATCATCCAAAAAAATCCTGCAACACTTCCATCCATTTATCCTCTTCTTAAGTCCTCATTTAGAGCTAATGAAATTGTCTCTCTGTTAAAATGATAGGATCTACTTTCTTGAATGTTTTTGAAGTTTCAGGAAATTGCTTTGGACATTAAAACCTCTGCACAGAAAAATAGTTTTAGGTGATTAATTCATCTTCCCAGAGACAATACTAAACTAAGTGTTTAACAAAAGACACAAGATCACATATTCAGATTAGATTGACAGTTTTAGAAAAGTAAATGAGTCTAAGTGCGTGTGTGTGTGCGCGCGCGTGTGTGTGTGTGTGTGTATGAGAGTCAATTCACTCTATTTCTTTCTTTATTTTAGCTAGCAAAGCTTGACTCTAAGCCAGCAGTCCTTCTGCAACCTTTTACCACACACACACACACACACGCACACGCACACGCACACGCACACGCACACGCACACACACACACACACACACACACACACGCACACACACACACACACACAGAATAACACAGACCACAGCCTATTACCGTCCTGATTATTCGGCACTACTTTGTTTGACTGAGTGAGAGCAATTATTTATTTGAGGTAATTGGTGTGTGCCATAATATCCATTATAAACCTCTGTTTAACCAAATCACCCTTTTTTAGTGACAAGCCTCTACCCACACAAAAAATAAACACTCACAGACACACACACACACACACACACACACACACACACACACACACACAATG